GGCAGCAGCACCACCAGCTCCCGGTGATGCTGGACGATTGGGCTGAGGAGATTGATCAGGTCGCGTTGGTGCTCCGGGCAAAGTCCTGCGTTCGTTTCCACCTGATTCATACCCAAAGGATAATACATAAATCTCTCTGTTGCACTAAACTATTTTTCAACTATATACATTTTTACTGTAAGATTTATTGTGTTCGTACTAGAAAATATATCCAAGTATGCTTCCTCCCTGCTTTCCCCAATTTTTATGAATTTTCAATCTGTTGTAGTATACATTTAAAAATACGTATCTTTTTGCAAGTGCTCTTACGTATATTAAAGAGGTAAAAATTCCCTTTGAAAAAATCGCCTTTCATGTTTCTGATATATATACATATTATCGAAGCAACAAGAAATATGCAAAAATATTTTGAACAATTTAATATACTTTTACTCTCAAAGGCATTTTATAACGGGGTATTCAGATTTTTCGAAAATGTTATATTTTTTCAGAAATATTTTCATCATACACTAATTTTTGAGAACTCTGAAATCTATAACTAACAAATTAAAACTTATTTAAAACAATCGCCATACATCCCGTACTTGAATATTCTAAAAGAATACCTGGATATTCAGGTTGCCTCGGAAGACCTGTAGGTGAAGCAGACCCGCGTGTACCACCAGCGACGACATTAGCCCACGTTTGTCCACTTGAAGGTCTATTTGGACTGGAAGGACCGTTCTGACCCGCTCTGGCAGGTGGTATTGCAGTAGTAGATCCTGAAGATGTATTAGATTTTATTTGAGATTATTTTATTGCAGAAACTGCTGCGAATGTGTGAGCTAATGTATGTAGAGAAATTTACCAGGCGTTACATGGGGCTGTACGGACGGCGCGGAAGTCGGCTTCGGTGCTATAAAATTTAAATATTTCATATAATACTTATTATATTTAAAATCTTGATTTCATATTAGTAATTATCAGATAGTAACCTGTACTCGTTGATCGAGGCAGTGGTTGAGGCGTATTTCTCGAGCCTGTAAAAATGAGTTAAACCGATTTTTATATGACAAAAAAATTTCAACGTTGTTTAAAATCCTTTAAATCGAATAATATAAGAACCTGCAACTGACGGCTGCGTCGGTTGAACCGGTATGTTTCCTGATACCGATGTTGGTCTTAAATCTAAAACATTCAAGACAACTCAATTCGTAAATATTCATTATACATATATAATGCATGCAACATTTTTTACGGCATGTCTTTTCATAAAATGTCAACATTATCGATATTTTTAATTCTTATATATAATCCGATTTTCCTGGTCATTCTATATAATCATAAAATGATCATAAGCATTATAAAATATTCACTTTTCAATCATTTTAATACTTTTATGTGTAGAATAACTAATTTATGCGAAAGCAAGCATCTAATTACATTTTAATCATTTCTTGCGATGTCTTTTCTTAAATATGAATGCATGTGAGTAATGGAAATGTGAATTTAAGACTCGGGTATTCATCCATTTAAAAATCATGGCTCGCAAGGAAACGCTATTCGTACAAAGTGACCTGTGGGTGAATTGGGCCGCGTCCGATCACCATTAGTCGCCAATCCAGGTGTTCTCGATGGTTGATTTTGGCCTGGTTCACCAGCTCCCGTAAAATCCACAGCCCAATCCCGATAACTCTGACCATTTCCACCACCGACTCCCGGTTTGTTTGGCCTCGGAACGGCAATGTCCAGACCGACTTCGGTCCCTGGATTAGGTCGATTGGGTCGCGCGTTATTTCGTACATTTGGTCGAGTACCATCCACGCCAATTGCTGGTCCCGAGTTAGCGGTGCCTGTTACAACAGTTCCGGGGTTTGCAGCCGGCACCGTCGGGCCTCCGACAATTGTAGCCTTTGTCGGAGTTGTAACCGATTGTACGGACGTCGGTGTAGCGGTAGTCGTCGTCGTAGAAGTAGTAGTCTCTTTGTCCTTTTTCCAAAATTTCCATCCTGCTTCACTATTACCTGAAAGATTGATCAGAGTTATTGAAATCTTAAAAAAGTGCATGCACAAGCAAAATCATTTAGCGTACGTAATATTGTTATACACCTGGTAAAAAATTTATGATTTCAATACATAATTATTAATCTCTATTCGTATATATAGAAAAAATAATAAAAAGAGAAATCTAAAAATAATTAAAAGCTAGGATAATGTTCGCATTGTATTTTTTATAAAAAGAAGTTTGAGGAAATGAGAAAAAAATGCGAACGTCTTTGGAAATAAAAACGAGAATTAATGTTATAGAAAAATAGAAATAAGACAAAGATTATATGTCGACAAATCTAATCTGCTCGATATTGACACATTTAAAATTGGGTCGATATAATTTTTATCGAAAAGCTATGACCTTTTAAAATTGGGTCGATATAATTTTTAACGTTATTTATCACGTTTACGGGGTCATAATGGTCATTTGAGATATCAACGTTACATACGTTGTACATGTATTTAATGATTAATTTCCTCTTTAACAGTAAGTGTGTTCGTTCTTTATTAAAATCTTTACATAAATTTCTCGAAATATAATTGTATTTCCTATCATAGTGTATCTATTACAAAAGTTATCTCGTATCCATGATACATCGTATTGATTTCCCTCTGAATATAAAAACTCTCAGAACTATCGCAGTTTTATTCCGTTACAGATATGTCGTTTGAAATAATCCTCTTTTATAAAACCACCAAGTAATAGTTTTGTCGAATAGTTTTGTGCACATATAAGATTCTATTTCACGCATATAAATTGATTCATGATGTACGTTTCACTTTTTCCTGATTCGTTTCTCGATAAATAGTTATGAAACATTCGATGAATTAATAAAGGAACAGCTTACCGACGTATAGCAAGAGCGTGACGACCAAAACGATGAAAACTTGATGTTTCATGATGATTGTTATGGAGACACTGACAGATGCCGAGTCCGTGCTTGTTTGCTTTTAAGAAAAGTTATGACCTTCGTAACTTTTGAGACTAAATTCTATTGTAGAGAGTTACGCACACACACATATACGCGAACGTGGTATATTCATTCGTGCGCGAACGAAGTCAGACTGCGTCTCCGTCAGCTCCGTCTACGATTTAATTGCCACGAGGCGAGCGGCTTTACTTTCCCCTGGCGTCACCGACACCTCACACATCGCAGCAATACGAATGTCCAGACTCTAATAGAGGTCGTCGCTTAAACGGTCACGGCAAAGGATGATGTCAGGTCTTAATCTTGAATTCAATTTTGTTAATTCTTGAAGGAAATCTCATACGCGTCACAAAAAAACGTGATAAAGAGATATACAAATAGATATAAATACGTAAAACACAGATTACTCCTTTTTAATGTACGTTGTACATATTTTTAACATATCGTGTATATTTTCTTTTATATTTAAAATATTTATTAAATTAAGACATTATTTATAAATATTATCTAGCATTCTATTAAAAATATGCGTAATAAATATTTAATAAGTGAATATTAATATTATTGCAACACAAGAGTTTCAGCGCCTCCTCTTCGCACAACTATGCCATCAGTCTGTTTACTTTCTTCTGCACATTGAATTTTACAAGAAAAGATTCTGAAACGTGCAAACATTTTGTTTTTATTAATATGGATTCATCAGAGATTCAAAGCTTTTTGCTATTAAGTTGTAAAGTACTCGCTAGACCAATACGTATTTGTTGAACATGTATATACAGAAAATATTGCTTACGATATGATATTATTCCATTGTTGCGTTTTATTCTCGTACTGCATAGTGTGTTCTTTTATCCTCTCTTGTTCCTTATTCAAATTTCTTAAAGTTTCTTCTTCTTTTATAATCGTATTATGTAATTCCTGTTTTAATGCTTGCCCTACGTTATTCAAACCATTGTTGGTCTGAAAAAGAAATATTGTTGTAAATGTATTAAGTATAATGATAGATATTATTTCTAATTAAAATTTAATATTTACTTTTGCTTCATAACGTAGCTTTTCTTCGGTATTCTTTATTTTTGCAATTTTTTCTTGTAATTCTTTCTTATCGTTGGTGTCCTACAGTGCAATAAGCAATATTATTTTAACGCGGTTAATCCATATTCTCCATACGCATATAAATTTTACCTGTAATAATTTGTTCTTTAGCCGTTTTGTTTCGGACAATAAATCGCTCGTCGTATTTTTCATAGTCATTTCTACCGTGTTATGACTTTTGCATGCTTTTTGATACCTCTCGTCAGTCTCACGTGATGCTTGCCGTAATGATTTCATATCTATATATAAGACATGCATAATTACTGTACATAAATAACAAATCTATAATAAATCTACAGTAGACTGAATTATGTATTTATTTATGTAGAATAATAAAAAAGATTTTCGATATGTTTTACTATCTAATGATGGTATTCGCAAACAATGAATTTATTCGTACGAAAATGTAATTAACATAATTTCTCACTTTTGATATTAAAATTCGGATGCAAATAAACATTATTTAATTTTGCTTTGCAAAAAGAGCTTTGTGAAATTACCTCTTATGACTGGGGCAAGATTGGTTCGCAGAGCCAATATCGAATGAGACAATTGAGTATTTGTCACTAATGCATTATCCAGCGTATAACTTTCTGGAATTGTCACTTTAGATGTAACATTCGTTGTGTAAGAATGAGTTATCTGAAATCATAATACGAAGAGCATCGATACATATTCATTATACTGATCTGAGTTTAAGAAGATCCGGGAGTTTCAATCTACCTGTCCATCTAGAATAGCTGCTGTTCGATTAAGTACACCGCTTTCGGCTTTTAGACCCGCTATCTCCGCTTTGCAACGCTTGTACAATGTACCTTTGGTCTTCAAACGATTGATATACTTTTTCAGTTCCTCCGCTCTAGGTATTGATGTCTCCAATAAAGTTTTCGAATGATCCCGTTTCTCTTTCAATCGCGATTGCAATTCCTCCAAGGAACTTTCGATCTTTTCTAAACGTTCAAGAGCGTTGCGTTTCATATTTCCGACAGCAGCGGCCTGCTGTCTAAACGGTCCCATTTTATCGATATCGTTTTTAGATATCTAAAAATCAAGGAATTTGCAAGAGACAAATGAGACGCCGTACAACATATTACCGTTAAATAAATTCCTCATATTCAAAACGTTCTTGATGCACACTCACTTTGGACTCCACCAAATCTTGTATGTCCTTTAATACCGCATCCAAATTGTTTCTCATGGTCAAAATTTTATCCGGACCCAAGTAAGAATATTCCTTGACCACCGACAACGCTTTCATCCGATTCTTTTTTGCGTTTAACTCAGACGGAAGCTTCTCCTTCACGATCGCCGATTGTACTGTCACTTCCTCTGTCAGATGTTGGATTAAGATCTGTGGTGTGAGCCCGGTGCTGTCGCGCTTCAAAGCGTGCAACTCGCGTTCGACTCGTTGAAGGGAGCTCTGGATATGTGTAAGATTAAGATTGCCGAGAGAATAGAAAAGCATTTAGTCGCGACGTTAAATTTTCCCAAGAAATCTATAATTTTTCATAAGGAGATATACTTGTAAATCGGTGATAGTGTCCTCCTCTTGTTCCTTCTGCGATATCAGATCGCGTTCCTTGTCCCTTTCCGTTCGCAACAATTTGCAGGCATCGAGTAAATGCAACGCTGGCTCGGCCTTCGTTTTGATCCTGCTGATACGCGCTGTCACTGCCTGCGTTTATGACAAAAAAATATCGATTCTAACATCAACGCCGAACCGAGACTCGCGTTATTCCGAATTGGAGCTTGGAATATTTTTATACATCATGTAGCTAAGATTACAGAAACATCTGTTACACACCTCCTTTTCCTTTGCCATTGCTTGCAGATCCGTTGCGAGCTCAACGGCATTTTCAACATCCTGAATGAATGAGAAAAAAAATTCATTATTCGTGTATGGAAACGAGAGAGAAACGGGAAGACAACATAAACAATTACACATACCTTCTTTCCTATCTCTCTTTCTTTATGAATTGTCTTAAATCTGTCGACGAGGGACAAGTACTGCTCGTGTAAAAGGGATATTTCCGAATCTCCCAGATACTCAGACGGGATGTCAAGCTAATAAGAATAATACTTTTCGTTTAGGAATTTTTGCTAGTCGGTTAATTTCCTTTTTTATTATGTTATTTAATTATGCAAACGCATGGCACACGTGCTCGCGAAGCAATCTCGATATCTTACCTTGACGAGAAACCGTGACAGATACGCTCTTTTCCGAACTACGTCGATATGCGTCAGGAGCCATGTCAATATAGGATGAATAATTTCAATTTCACCTCGAATTAAACCTTGTCTAAACGAAAGACAACGTTAGAAGTACCCGCGGAAAAAATTTTTTTTATATAATTATATATAAAATATATCTACATGTGTCTTTTCTTTCTCTTTGATACTAAATGCAATCGTTAGAATAATTTTCATCACCGCAAATTTATTTTTAAAGAGTGCAAAAATCTACTCTTACTATTCTTTACTTTTATTTATATCTTTTGCATTATATATTTATTGTTTTATTTGTGTCTTTTGAAAGACACAAGAAAAATATTAACGCACTTCGCTCAAAGTATCTGAAATCTAATTGTCACCTAAATGTCACGGGATCCACATCGGGCTGGTAATTAAGTATTCGAAGGGCTGTTAAAATATATATGGAATTTTCTTCCGGCGAATCCAACTTGATATCGACATCCGAACCATCTTGCTGTTGTATCTTCATCAGAACACCGCATAATATCTGCGAGAAAAAGTGGAATGTTTTTCGAAAGTGCCGCGATGAGATAAAATAGCGGAAAGATACCTGCAATAAATCCTCGGCATTTAAGGCGTTGAATCCGATCAGGTTGTAATTTCGTCCTAATAATTTATTTACTTCTGTCACGATAAATTTCACGTTTTCACTCATAATGAGCTTTTTCCGCAACGAGTCTCGCGCCCGTCTTTCCAAAAATGAAAAACGCCTTTCGAACTTGCCAAACACTTGTATACCTTGCGCTATAAACGTAATAATAAATGACCGAGTTCGTCTAGACCGATGGACGTTATAGCTTCGGTTGCCCCGACAACAACGTACCCAACACAGTATTGATATATTCATTTGCGCATAAATTCAACATTCTTTCAACATCAAATGCATAAGGAGTGAAGGATGTTTGTTCATGCAATAATACAAACAATAAACACACAATTATAACAAAATACTTTATTAACATTGTTTAATCAGTTTAATGTATCAATGTATTAATAACGCGCAGATATCTCATCGTTCAATCAGAATCGCGTAATAAAATGTCTCGCTATAATATGAACTGTATATATAGCTAACAAGTTTATTATAACAATAAATACAATAATACATAATTACATTGTAGTACTGTAGACTGTAGTGTTACAAGCTGTCCTCATACCCCAAAAAACTTCCTATATAAAACATTGTTAGTAGAGAAGTATATCAATGGAAAAGAACTGATATTTGCCAATACACGCATCTGCAGCGTGTATGTTCGTATTCAGAAATTTTTCTGTGATCTAATTATTCATAATTGTTAACAGTTGCCATTAAAAAAACTTATTGTTTATAGAGAATTTTTATGAAGATGTCGCAGGTTATTTCCGCACGTAAAGTGATCACCCTATATCTCGTAAAACAATCGAGAAAGGACAGATACTATATTTACATTAACAAAGATTATAGTATAACCTGCGTAAGTCTTTGGCAATAAACAACGTGTATTATTCAGCATAACTGAATTGAGTGATGCTGACTGATCTGATTGATTACAATATCGAACAAATGTCTATCATGAGCTTCCTAAAATACATATCACTGCGCGCACGTGCGCGCCAACAGATCTATACATATATATAAATTACTTATCCAAAATAATGTTAATTTTTTCTCCTGTAAAAAAATTAACGGTATTTTCTTACGTATAAATTTGAAGCTCGTTTAAAATTAAGCAAGTAACATATTTCTACGGCTAATAAAACTTCAATAAAATATTAATCATTTGAATGCAATATTAATAACTGTCCACTATTGATGTGTCGATATTGCCTTATCTTTCTATAAGAG